TTTAAGTGAATGGACAGATTATGGTTTTATGATATACCCCCAAATAATTCATAACTATGAACTTCTCATTCACTTTACTTTTCATTAAAATTTTCCATAGTGATTTACCAGAAATGTTCACTGTTTAATTAGTGAAAATTCAGTAACATTTCACTGTCAAAATTATCACTTAGGGATTAAAAAGAATTTTTTTAACAAAAAATGAAAATTACGAAAGTTTATCAAGAAATTATCTCTGTATGCGTGATTTAAGCTTGAATCAACTCCAGAATTCCTCTCACCTCAATTTTGAACTAAACAATGTGACAGGTTAGAATAATTACTTCATTGCCCTGTATCTAATGCTCTTGTGTGTGACACTCTTCTTTTAATGACTTTCTGTTTAATGAATTCCGGCTTGAATCGTGACTTTAACCCTATTTTAAAATTCTGGGTCCAATGCTCAAAGTGAATGTTTAATGTATTCTCAAAATCAGTCAGTACATAAATCAGACATGGTGGTAAGGATCTGGCCTGGCCTCAAATCCCCAGGTAGCTGAAAAGAGTCACGAACACTGAGGCTCAGGAGAAAGGAAAAAAAGAACAACAAAAATGATTTCTTAGAGGAGTCTGGTGACCCCAGGAACCTCCATATCAATATAGATTTCTGGCTGATGCTGGCTTTTCTTACTAAATCTTAAACTGATGATATTAAGCCTAATTTGTGTGTGTGTGTGTGTGTGTGTGTGTGTGTATGTGTGTGCCCGCATACACATGTGCATCCATGTGCCTTTTCTCATTCTTCACCTTTCAATTATTTTACTTAAATCCTATTTTAAAATATTTTATTTAGGGGACTGGGTTGTAGCTCAGTGATAGAGCACTTGCCTAGCACATATTAGGCACTGGATTCCATTCCATCATGTAAAATTAAATAAATGAAAGAGAGGTATTGTGTCCATCTACAACTAAAAATATATTAAAATTTATTTAGACAAAAATGTACAGACATACGTCATATGGAAAACAAAAAAGGCACTCACGTAACTTTCATCAAGTCTCAACAATAAAACTAGAGATTTTAAAACCCTTTCAATGCCCATTTCCATTTGTAGCCCCTGCTTTGTCTTCTACAAATTCTATAAACGAGTTCCTAAGGAATATATTGATTAGTATTACTTCCTTGATATTTATATACATAGTAATACATTGTATAAAATAATCTACTGTATTTTTGTTTGTTCAACTTTATGTTGAAAGATGTGACTAGGACTAATGTTTAACTGCAGCTATTATGAATAATGTTGTGAACTTTTTTTTTTTTTTGCCTTGCCAGTATTGAACCCAGGGCCTTAGGCATGATAGGCAAGTATACAACTGAGCTACACTCCCAGTCCTAATGGTGAACATTTTCAAACATGTCTTTAGGTACTCATTGTCAAGAGCTTCTGTAGGACAAATATACACATCAAAGTGAAATTATTGGATTACAGAATTTGTACATCCATTTCACTGGAGAGTACCATATTGTTTGAACAAAAAGTTTGTATGAGTTTTCCTTCATTTCTCCACCCATTTCAGTTTTGCTAGTGAAGTTGAATGTTTACTTATATGTTCTTTGCATTTTTCTGTTGTTAGTTGTATCTTATGACTGGTGTGACCTCTTTAACATATTTCAGGTAACTAACTATATCTATCAATCTATACAGATACTATGTTCTACTATAAATATCTTCTGACAATTTTTGGCTTCTCTCTCCATGTATTTTATAGGGTCTTTTGTTGATTTGATTTTCTTACTATTACTATGGCTATAGTTATCAAAATTTCCTTATGCTTTGGAATTTTTATATTTTATTCAGGTAATCATATAAATATTATATGTTTCCTATCACAAGTTTTAAATCTTGCCTTTAGTATTTGAGATTTTAATCTATTTGGAACTGACTTCATGATGATGTGAGGTGGGGTCATCAACTTTCATCCTGGCATCATTTCTCAGTCCACCCTTACCCCACAGGTCCACAGTGTAGTTCTGTATTATTCCCACATTGACACAAGTGTGTCAGTCTGCTTCTGCACTGTCCTGTTGTACTGGTTTACTTGTGGCTGAGTTTAAAAGTTGCTGAGAGTATGCCACTTTTTACTTATTTCACTTGGGATTTTTCAGGTTTTTAAGTCATTTGCTCTTTAATCCAGCAATCCCACTTACAGAAATCTAGCTACAAAATACAGCAGAGAGCAGTGTGTCTCAGGCACCTGTGCCACAGAATTTTTTCTTAAAAAAGAAAAAAAAATAGATTTAGCTTCTTTTTAATGTTTTATTGTGGCTGTTTTGTTTATACTATCCTATAAATTATGTAGAATCTCAAATGGCCACTTCCAATTTATCTCATGTCATCAGGTATAATCTTATTAAACCAAATTCCTGATGGACAAGGAGGTGGGTATGACAAGGAGGTGGGTATGACTGTCAACTTTTATAATTAGCATTGATCTTAAGTTTTTTATAATTTCCCTGTGAAAACAGGGAAACCTCTGTCTGAAAGTTAAGAAAGCTAGAGTTTTGGGCTGAGGTTGTGGTACAGTGGTAGAGCACGATCTTTTTTTTTTTTTTTTCTTTTTTCCTTTGTTTTGAGAAGAGAATAACTATTTAGGAAATGGTTGAGAATCTCTTCCCTCTAAAACTGGCATTATAAGTGGGCAACTTATAGAAGGCACCATGCCAGGACTTGTTCTGGTTAGGTCTGTGCCACATTTCATTACTTCATGGGGTTTATAGAAAAGTTAAGATAAATAAAGAAAAAAAAAGATAAATAAAGAATTTAAAGTTGTCTTTTGGCTTCTAGAGCTATGCACAGATCACTACAGAGGGACAGTTAAAATGCTCAAGGCAGCCTTTGTTTATCAGTGCTACTGTGATGGCAACATTAAGATTTTTCTATGTGCTAGGTTCTGCACAAAGTATTTAACTAACTTGGTCACACTTAATCCTCACATCAGCTCTATACATTTTAGTTTTATAATTATTTCACTTTTCCCAAACCACAGATATTAAATAACATTCTACAGTCACACAATTAATAGGTGAAAGAGATGGTATTTAAATACAGTAAGTAATTAAAGGAACCATAAAATACTTAATGTAACCTTCCATGTTCACACTTTTAGGAAAGTAACACACATTATCATCCAACTTGTGATTTGTTTGGCTGAGTAGGTGACTGTGAGAAAGAAGAACAATACTCAAGCTTCACAGAGGTCTTTGAATTACCTCACAAACCTACAGGTGACTCAGCTCTTGTTATACCTCTAACTGTTAATGGAATACAACAGTTACAAAATTATGCGTCAACCTTTCCTCAGACATTGGACTCCCACTTTCACTCAAGGACACTCTATGCTACTTCAAATGGCCATAACTTTAACACGAGGTCTATGAAACAAGAAAAGAAAATCATTATTATTCATTTTTTCCCTTTTTGAACACTCTCTCATCTTAAGATACCTATATTGTTCCATAGGTTCTATTTATTTGTCTCCTATCAAACCCTCCTCTTCCTCATGCTTAATCCCAGCCACTTCACAAATTATACACCTGTTGTATACATGGTTAAAGTCTAGTACTTCCTTTCTACCTAGAAGTCACCCTTTCCCTCTCAAATCAGAGTGCTACCTGAAGAATGTCAGGAAACAGGTATTTAGTGTTCAAAATAACTTTTTAAACGATATCCTACTTACTCTTTACCTCTCAAAGTGGGGTAATATTAATCTGCCTCCATATGTAATTTCCACTCTTAGTAGTAGTCTTTCTTTCAATCTCTATTGAATCTGCATAATCTTTCTCTAACAAAACAGTCTATATAATATTTGAAGCTGAAATGTGTATCATAAGGCTCCTGAAATATCTAAAAGTGCAGGAAAAACATATTGTAGTTTAGCAATTTTTCTATAAAATTGTATCAAACTAAACTTACAACCCTTTTATCTACCAAGATTTCTCAAGACTTACTCTCTGCTTCTATTCTAAGCCTGACCTTAGCAGCTGGGCAGCCATACCTGTTGAGTCATTTTAGGGCCCTTGGATACAAGACAGAGAACTCTCACATACAACAGTAGTACTCAAGCATTAAGCAAGAACAAACTGGAAACACGGCAAAAGGGCAAAATGATCCTTTCTCATATACTTGTACACATGGGAACTAAATTTGACTAGCATGTTGGTGTAAACTAGAAGAGATCTGGGGTCTAGAGTACCTCCATATGAAAAAAAAAACTTGTTATGTTTATTTCATGTAATTACAATAAGAAAAAAGTATTAGGATATAGTAAGCAATGCACTGTATGCATTATCTTTATCAAAATTTCAATGACATATTTAAGTTGGCTTAGTTTATACAGAGAAACATACAAAATGGTGCTCAAATATAATTTTAACTGTGATAAACTTTTGCATGGTTTGAAAAACAATTTTGTTCTTCGAAATGCACAAGGAGTCAACATTGAGAGTCATGTAACCATTCAGTCTCAGTCAGGAAGCTCTGTTCTAGAAGAGCACAAGTCCCTGTGAAGAAATGGGTGCTTATGGGCTCTTCCTTTCCTCCTCTTTCCTGTCTGCCTCCTCGACTCCTCTTGCCTTTCCCGCTCTTTCACTATTTCATCTGATACAATTTTTCATTGACCTGTAATTGCTTTGCTTCATGAGCGGCCTCAAGGCCCCCAAATATGCTAAGCTGCTCATTTAACACTCCAGTGCTCAGAAAGCCTGTCAGAACTGGATGGTCACAAGAGGTCAGGAGGACGATGTGGCACCTAAAGGGCACAACCAGGGGGCTGGCTGTAAGCCTTGTACTATGCCCTAGCTAAAAGGTGGCAGGGGGATCTTTAAAGGCTGAATGGCCAGTGCTTACCCGCCTTTCTAAACTCTAGTACTTTAGCGTTCCCTAGCAACAGAAGCAAAGGATCAATTTAGAAAAGTGCTTTCCAGAGCATTCTATGTAGCTACTGACCAAGCCATTTTAGTTTATGTGATCAAGCAATTGGAATTCAAGGAGATTTATCACTGCCTGTCCTCGGCAGCAGAACTGGAAGAGTAGTGCTTGATAATGTATGCTGCTAATGTCTGAGATGACTGAGTCTACCTCTACCGCACAAGCACGGATTGGCTTCAGTAAGAATTAGTAGTCTCTGCATCTCACTGTGAACCGACAGTGTTGCTAGGGAAACTGATAATTATGTGGCAAAATGGAGGGTGTAGAAAAGAAAAAAGGTTCAGAAGAAATGTAAGGTTTTGATCCAAATCAGCATGTTAATAGTATAGTTTGTTGATCTTTTATAGTCATAATTTAATAAATACCATTAATTATATGTTTGACAAGATACAGATTTCTAAACTGAAAGAAGTGAATAGTAATGAAAAGCTACTGGTTACTGATCATATTTTTCATATATACCACAGCAGGAACATGTATTTATAATAAAATAAAATTAATTTTAAGCATTCAAAAAGATGAATAAAAACCCCATTGGTTTCATTTCTGATGATTTTCTTTAGATATCAATCATATGGTGTTTCAGGTATAAAAATCATAATTCCATAAACTCTAATAAAATTACTTTTCTGGGCTCATAGACTAAGACAGGTGGCCTCAAAATACCCTAGAATAAAGTGGTACAGAAAGAACTGTCAGTATTTTTGTATGATACATAGTAAAATAAACCCAGAGAAGTCAAGTGATCTTCCTGCAGTCACACAGCTTCCAGGTTGGTGGTAATGCTGGAGCTAAATCCCCCTCTTTCAGCTGCCTGGGAGATGTCATTTATTAATTATATCTGAGTTAGAGAAAACCCATCAGAAAGACATAAACCTAATGAATGAATACATCTCTTCAGATATCACTTTAATTTTGAATGAAAATTTTCAACCCTTTTCATTTTTAATGTGTAAGGTTAGTTTTAAGTTAATGACAGGATATAAACACTTATTTACAAGAAAAATCTCACTGGAGACATTCTAGTATGTGAGAATGATCATCAAAAACTCAACAGCTCATTATTAGCATAGTTTTACTACATGTCAAATTGCTGTCTAAGAGTTGTTGGTCCAATCATGAAAATCTGCTGCACAATATTCTTCTATTTTTATTCTCTAAGGACTTCTTTCTGTGTGTGTGTGTGTGTGTGTGTGTGTGTGTGTGTGTGTGTGTGTGAGTGTATGTTTAAAGAAGATGAAATCAAATGTTTTCTGTTCTCCTGTTTATACAAATCTCACGCATTTTCTAATTTGTGAATGCATTATAGATATGAAACCTTCATTTGTATTCATATACTAACAATCTATATATGATGTGTGGTGGTCAGAACACAAGTGATTTATTCATGGTCCTATCCAATCCAGTGTTTTGGTCTTATTTGGTCTTTGACAGGAAAGATGAGAGGCACACATGGGACACTAAGGTAAAAGCACAAAACTGAACAGAACATCTTAATCATCTTAACTAAATGAATTCCAAGAGTCAGAAGCAGATAGTTGGCCTTCTGATATTATGAAAATGATCTTTATTCTAAGGACTGAAAAATTCTAAGTCTTATTCATTAGTACAAAGTAGTGTGGTTTATTCTTGATGAGATGGACTATCATTTTTAAGGCAGATTATTAAGTTAGTCAACATTATGGTTTAAAAATAATACTCAGTTCATCTTTAGTTGGGATTTTGTTAATTGTTTATATTAAGGCATTTATTTTTTATAAGATTAGAGGTAAAATGATGGAGTCCTACTCTAAAAAGACTTTTCTGCTTTCTAAAAGTAGGAAGGCATTTACAACTCTGGATTCTCTGAATAAGAAAAAGAAGAATGTGAGTCCAAATTGTGTAGTTTAAAAGTGATTTTCAAGGCTAGGCTACACGAACCTTGACTTAAGCCATCCTGACAAGATGTTTGTTTGACATCCAAGTTCTCCATGGTGTCTCCTTTGGAGACTTCACTAAGAGATGTTCTTCTTTCAAAGATGTTGTTGTTATTGTTAACTTGAGTCCCATTTTGTTTCAGTAGTCTGAACACTTCAGCTTCCAAATCTCTAATCTAGAAAAACAAAAATATCCATCTGTAAAATTCTAAACCAGCACTCCTCTCCAAGTGCCAAGTAAAACTATCACATGTTTCGAAGCTTTGAGAATACAACTCACCCGCACTTGTAGGCCTTGAACTTCCACAAGATGAGCTTTTTCTAAATCTTCTATTTTCTTTCTTTCTACTTCTTGTCTTTTGATGAAATCAAGCTCTCTTAAGAAGAAAATAATACATATGATTGTATCAGACACTTAATAGGTGAGGTAATGTGAGTTCTTACCGAACAATAAATCTCACAATGGGATAAACAAAGAGCTATTTAAATAAACAAAAATCAACTGTAGTTAGAGGAAAGGTTTAAGTAATTAAAAAAATAAAACATCATTAATGTGTCACAAAATAAAGAATAGCATTTTGATTCTGTTTATTATGATTTTCATCCGTAGCTCCTGATTCTAGAGTACTCATATATTGGGTAACTTTGTGGAGAATTTAATTGTGTGTCAGGTAGAAATGACTCCCTATTTTTAATGTCATGTACATGAGTAAACTGATGCAAATGGATGGTAAGAGTTTCAAAGGTGATTATTTTAAGATTTCTTTCTGTGAATTATCATGGAGAAGGGAATGGGTGTGTGAGAGTACTTCTCACACACCTAATATAATATGGTAAGAAAGAGAAATATTTCTATTTTGAGAGGCTAGAATGGGATATGCAAATTTGGCAAACTTTATTATAAAATCATTACAAAGAAAATTAGGTATGATATTTTTGGCAAAAAGGTTAAAACAGTGATGTCTTGAGTTCACATTAACAAAGAGCAATTACCCTTCTTTTGCCACAAGTTTTTATAGCAAGCTCAATATTCAAAATATTATTTCCATGATAAGAGGTAGAGACATGCTGAATTTTACACATATACTTACTTAACTTCTAAGGCTTGACATGAAGATCAGAAAAGGTACTGGTACTACTTCTTTTTAGTTTTAGCTAATAGGAAGTAACTGATGAAAAAAATATAATAAAAAATTTCCTAGTCTTTCCTTCAGATATTACAACAAAATTCAAGAGATGGAAGCAAAGCAGCAGAAAGAGCTGCTGGAATTCAAAAGTGGAGGGTAGTGATGGTCTCTCACTGTAGTGAACTGGGGGCCCAGTGATTCTTTCAACAGCTGAGAAATGCAGAGTGGCAGGGTGTGGGGGGGTCAGTTCAGTCAATATTTACGCTGCCTGTCATGGGGAAATTCTACAGTCATTGATTCAGACAGAAGCAGCTTGATCCAAGCCCCAAATGCTCCTTAGCAAGTACATCGCCAGTCACTCTGCAAGACTTTAGCCGGGTTTCTTGTTTTTAAATCAGAGATATAGAAATGTTTCCAAAAGAAAAAAGAAGTTCAAATGCTTTAATAGTTACTATCAATGATTAATCATAAAAAAAAGAAAAAAGAAAAACCAGGAGGCAAATGATTGTGAAGAAATGGCAAAATATGCAAAATACATTCTAACATGAAAAACTGATGCAAGTGGTTTCCAGAATATAATAACTTCTTTGGTGGTCACTATACTACCAAAAGGGAAAAGCTTGAGGTCATCTTTTCTATTCCACTAGATATTACAAAAGAGTTGGATATAAGCCTCTGTTTTAGACACAGATAACTACTCTTTAGTCATGAAAAGCTGCTTACTTTTGTTGAAAATCCTTGATCAATTTCTTTGCCTTGTTGTACTTCTTTTCCAAGGCCTGATACTGGCTTTGGGTCTCTTTAAGATGTTCATTCACTGTGTGGCATAATGTCTGAGCCTCAATCCAATAGCTCTCTAACTTCAGCATTCTTTCTTTATTTTCTTCTATGTTCTGTTGGAGTTGGGTTTTTTCTAGTTCCCACCTCACTTTCTCATTTTCTGCTGCCTGCAACTGGAGAAAGCAAATATCAAGGCAAGAATAATTTGGATATGTCTGCAGCCAAAGTCTCTCATATTTTTACAGCATGTTTTAGATTAAATTCCATTATTACATATACTCAATCATCAAAACACCTTGAGATGAGAAAAGCAAGTATTATTTCCATAATTCCACAAAGGATAAAATGGAAGCCTCAAAAGAGAAATTATTTGTCCAAAGTGATACATCTGATAAAAAACACGGATTTGATTCCAAATCCCATGAATTTTCCTTCATATCCTGTGGTCTGAAATTCTATAAGCAGGAAATGACATTTTAGAGTTTGAATGATTATCTAACAAATGTCAAAGTGTTTTCTTTGGGGGTATTTTTTTAAATATAAAATGATATGCAAAAATTAACTAAAAAGGGAATGAGGCAAGGCAGGGAAAGAACAGCAAAATCACAGGATGGCCCAATGGTTAAGAGGGGGACTCTGGGATTATTCACCTTAGATTTGAATCTCATTTTTGCCATTATTGGCTCTTAAACTTTTGGTAAGTAATTAGATTTTCCCAAGAGTCGATGTTATCGTCTCTAAGACAGAATGGTGATATAACACACTGGCATACTTGGAATAGTTCCTTGGGGACAAGAATCATCTGATAAATGTTAGATATTATTACTTTTCTTTTAACCCCTTTGATGATATTATTACGTTCTTTATTTCAATGGCATGAACACAGTCTGTAGCTTATTATATTACAGTGAGTGTTATGAATTTCCAGATCTTTGTAAATCTCAATTCACATAAACATACAAAGGTGGGTAAATGAAAATGTAAATGCTGGTTTGATTAATTTTAATCCCTCCAGTGGAACAGAAAGGCAGCTTTCTGTAGCCTCTGCTTCTAGGTACTCTTAGGAATTGACAATGTATCTCTCTAACATCTTCATTTCTACAGAAATTTAAGACTGATCACTTAGGTAAGGGCTTAAAAGTCACTTATTCACAATCACTGCAAAGCTTTCTGTCTAGTGCTTTATCTACTTCCTATACCTTCTTTAAAGTTCAGAAAGATCCTGGAATCATTATAAATTATAAATTCTCAAAATCAAGATATTCTAAAATCACCTACCATTCAGCAAATGGAAATATATATGTTCACATATGTGTATGTGTGCATGTATGTGTGCATGTGTTTGTGTGTTTTGTGTAATTTTTTTTTTCTGGCACCAGTGATTGAATCCAAGGGTGCTTAACCACTAAGCCACATTCCTAGCCCTTTCCATTTTTATTTTGAGACAGGTCTCATTCAGTTGCTTAGAGCCTCACTAAGTTGCTGAGGCTGATCTCAAACCTGTGATTCTCCTGCTTCAGTCTCTGAGTCACTGGGATTACAGGCATGTGCCACCACAACTGGCTACAAATTTTTAACTAAACATACTTATAAAACAAATTACAAAGTTAAAAAGTAGCCCAAAACACTTCAAAATTAGGAACTATATTATTAACACGAATAACCATGATAGTAAATTAATCTGTGGATATAATAAGCCAATGTAATAATAAGAAAAATATAAATACTAATTTATAGTATTTTCTAAGTTAAATGTTTATAGTCTAACACATAAGCTCCACTGAAGCATTTATAATCACAGGGGAATCTTTTTCCCTAATTGTAACCAGTTTTTAAAACTACACTTTTTTTTTTCCCTATGTCAAGAAACAATTGCAATTTAAAACAGGACTAGTTTTTTTTCTTTTTTTTTACAATATCTTTTATTAAGAAACATTTTGTATCAAGTTGTTTATTTATCAACCACTACTAATGTAAAAATTACTATTCACAGTGCTGGGCTGACACCATGAATGATGTACAGACGTGTTTTGACTAAAGAGCTCCAGAGCGAGAATACCATTTAACCAAAATAGCCTTGCTAATTCATCTCCATTTAAAACACATGGAAAAACCAAAACCAAGTGTTCAGTGTGAATGAGAAAACGGATCATTAGTAGTGGGGGAGTAATTATGTCTTAATTTTTAAAAGATCATAGAACAATAAGAAATATTGTTTTAAAGTAATTCAAAAGGTATTTTAAATATGAAATTACATATTTAAGACTAATCACAATGGCTAGAATCGTAGCTCATACAAACAAGTACCTTACAATTTACCAATTAAAAATGCCCTTTTGAATCCTTCATTATTTCATATATAGAGACTAAAAATACCTATTTCCTTTGATTAAGACTTTTCCTCCCTTACAAATTTTTAAAAATGTGAATTAAACTTGCCTAAAAATTTCCAGTAGCACCTAGCACCTAAAATCAATTACTTGTATTAAGTTGATAATATCTCATTCTTAAAAATTGTTTTTATCAAAAACAATGTGCTGTATTAAAACAATACATTGTTTTTGGTGAATAAACTAAAAATAAATAAATGATAAAATCTATAATAAGGTAAGTGAAAAAATTAGTGGGTAAAATTTATTAAACATACTTCAGACACTTGAACCATTAAAATTATTACTTTTTGAGGAACTCTCTGAGGAAATTGACTACATGTGTGTAAACACATAAATATATACATTTAAAATACCATGCTATTTTCCCTGAGGAGTACATGAATGCTTGTTCTCATCAGCGTGTTTGTCTATGATCTAATGGTGGAAATGAATCTCTCACATTGGTATTCTTTCAAATGCACAGGAACAAACCCTTCAGTTCTAGGGTTGAATTTATTTATAGTATGTGAAGTTTAAAGAGTACAATTCAAACACCATGTACTGGTGCTTACCTTGGTCTTCAATTTTTGAATCTCTGCTTCTGTAACTGCATGTTTGATTTGCAACTGAAAATTGAAAAGAAAATATCTGAACTAAGAGAGTGTATCTGTATTTTTAAAGTCTCACCAGCTACAAGAATACCTTATCACATAGTAAAAAGCCTGGAAAAGTGCTGCAATGCAGAAGATTGTAAATTAAAATGTCTAGTGTGTAAAATGACTCACTGGGTGCAAACTAATTAAACATGGGGTTTATGGTTCACATTCCCCAACATCAGATTAGGTTACCCGTTTATTGCTCAGGGACCAAAGAGAAGAAAACACATCTTTTTTTTTTTTTTTTTTTTTTTTTTTGCTCTCTTTGCAGATCTTCCTTTATGATTTGACTGTCAAAGCAATGTTTCCTTGCTTAGTCGAGCCAACGGAAAGGTTTAAGCCTGTGAGTCTATGGAGATGGAGCAATGTGAAGATTTAATTCCATATTTGGAAGAAAGATGGCACTATGGTTCTGTGAGTCCCTCGAACATTCTGATGAAGCAGCTCAGCTGCAAAGGGAAAAAGAGGAGGATGCAGCTTCATAGAGAAACCCAGGTTTTTTTTTTCCTTTTTTTTTTTTTTTAATTTCAGAAGTGGTACTTATTCAGATTTCTGTTCTCCAGAAGACCCCCTCATATTGAAGATTCAGACCTCAAAAAGCTTCTACTACAGCTCGCTAGGTAAGAGTCACCATTTGTCTGTTTTGCTTCTCCCCTCCCCCACTCTTTTCTTTGTAAAGGAGGAAGAATCAATGAATCATTCATTTCTTTAACGCATAAACGAACACCCCCAAATTCAATGAAAACGACTTATGGGTTCAGAATTTCTTCTCTGAAATTCATGGAGCTCGATGTTTTAGGAACTCAGCAATTTTTTAATTTCAGAAAGGTAATGTGATGCATCTTCCATAAACTCCATATTACCCAACAGAGGATCTGCAACCAAACACATGAATATTTCTGCCACCACAAATATGAATATTCCGACTCAATGAAGTATATAAAGATCATAAATAGTATCCTGTCAGGTTTGTACCACCAAATTAGTTTGCCACAAACTTATAAGAAAACCTGTTTTCAGAGAAGTAACATAGCTTCTTCAAGTTTCCACTACAAGTAGGAGAAGAGGAAACAGTCCCAGGTCTGACTCTCCCTATCTCTGCTTCTTACCTTCACCATGTGTCTAATGGAATCAATTGCTTGGGGATTTCTCTCTCATTTAGTCTTTACAAAAACCCTGAGGCATATGTCATCACTGTCACACTCAGATGAGAAATTATTAATCTGACTGGAAACCATAGGGTTACTTTGAGTAATCTCTGAGTATTCTGACAGAATGTAAAATGGTGCTCAATTAGTTGCTGTTGTTATGAGCAGAACTTAGATCATCTTTCTGATTCAGCCAGCACTTAGTGAATAAGCAAATGTGTTGGTCTGAGAATACATGAACATGGTATAAAATCCCCTTTGAAATATATATTTAGGGAGATTAATAAATTATCCTTCCTAAAAGAAGTTCTAGGGATGATGCTGACAGAAAGGGCACTGGGAATCTGCCTCTGGAAGGCTTGATTAATCTTTTTTCCCATATAACCAGGTCAGATGGTCTCTGGCTCTGGTGTCTTTGTCATGTCTCAAATCTAACAGTGGACCTCACCACCCTCAAGGCAAAGTGGGAAAATGGGCCTGACGTTCCCCCGTTTTCTGAGGAAGAGAAAACTGCTTCCCAAAGGGTAAAGAAAATTTGACAAGAGAAGCATAATTGGTCAAAGGTTGCATTTTCTTATTCTAAAGCAGTTCTCTTTTCCATTGCTTAAGAGATTTATTTCAGGGACCAATAAGTTTCCCAAAGGGCCAAGTATCTATGAGAAAGTCAAGCTGACTGTCAGTGGGGAAGAAAGAATGGAATCAGAACCTGAAATGCCTGTTGGAACTTCTGGACTTCAGAGAGCTAGGTTTGGAGAAAAGACTTGGGATTGGAGAACATAAATAAAAACAAGATTGCAGGTCAGTGTCGTTGAACTTACAAAACCAATCTTTTTCATCTCTCTTGTCATCTCTAATATGAATGCCACAGATACCCACAGATACCCACCCAAGGATATCAACCCAAATAAATACACAATTCTTACAAAGAACAGGAGCTCCCATTTAACAGTCTGTATGTATACTTTCTATTTATTGCTTTCTATGTAAAAGATAAATATGGAGCATGTATGCAAATGACTGACTCAATGTAATCCAAATATAACTACTAGAAATAGAAACACTCTTATACAGATACATAAATAATCAGATTGAAGTTTTGTATTCTCTTGACTTATTCTGCATAAGGGTCAAAAACATTTTTAAGTAAAAAAATATTATTTTAGTAGGAAAACTTTATTTAGTAGGAAAAATTTAGTTCTAGTACCAGAAGCTTTATAATGAGATAAGAGTAACACTCTCTGCTCTGACATTACAAGAGCAACAATAACTGGTATTTGAATGTAACTTTATAAGATAGTTCAGCACTGGAATCAGAATTTTTACAATTATTTTTCTGAGTATTGGAGTGATATTTATTTACCCACAATAGTGTAAGCACCACAAAAGAAGGAACTGAAACTTATTTTGCTGACATTTTGGTGTTGGTAAAATGAAACTTTTTTTTTTCATTTCAACTCAAAGATTTATATATGGTGTCTTTCTTTTCTTAAAGAATGGTGTATACAAAATGAGCTGAAATATGCTTACTGAGCATAGCATAACCTGACCTGAATGACAATACCAACTGCAAGATACATAGCACAGGATGAGATTCTCTAACAAGGAACGTCCTCTAAGTCAGAACTCAGAAACTGGTATTAATGATGAAGATGCTGGATTAATTGAGAGCCTATAATTATAGTTCCTTTAAAAATAAATTTATGTTTACTACTAAGTAGATAACAATGTATAGCTTCTCTGTTTGTTAACAGAAAGTTCCACAAGGATAACTTTATTTATTCTCCAGTGCATTTATGACTTTTCTGGATTTTTTTTTGTAGACTTAGATAAAACAATATAACTTTCAAACTTTGTTTTTCTCTCAAGAGGAATTGCTTTTACTAGTGCTAACAGCCTGACTCCAGAGTAGTAGTGGTGAGTGCCAAACAATGGACACTGAGTCCGGAGGCACCTGTCAAGCAGTTCCTCATGTAAACTCACTCTACACCCCACTAAATTACTAATGATACAACATTGAGGAAAAACAACCCCCCAAAGTCACTAAAACTAAAACTAACCGTTAGCAGAATATGAAATAGGCATGAAATTGAATTCAGATCACAAGGTGGAAGCTAGCCTCTGTGACTTAGTGGGACTCTGTATCAAAATAAAAAATAAGGCTGGGCATGGTGGTGCATGCCTGTAATCCCAGTGGCTTGGGAGGCTGAGACAGGAGGATGGCGAGTTCACAGCCAACCTCAGGAACTACGAGGCACTAAGCAACTCAGTGAGACCCTGTCTCTAATAAAATACAAAATAGGGATGGGGATGTGGCTCTGTGGTGGAGTGCCCATGAGTTCAATCCCCAGTATCAAAAAATAAAAAATAAGAAGGTCCAGGGAGGTAGCTCAGTGGTTGAGTACAGTGGGTTCAATCCCTAGTATCAAAAAATTAAGAAAAATCTATACAGACCTCACCTAATGCTCAAAACTGGGCTCTAAAAACTCACCAGATAACAAATCAAAACACAAAAGAACTATCATCTAAGTTTCACTCTGATGAGAGTTGGACACTTTGTACCATCCTCACTGATTGCTTGAGATCTAGTCTGTCCGGATATGGGACAAGACATTTCTGTCTTGCCAGAAATGGGACCTCAAATCAGGTCTGTCACTTCTCAGTATCCCAAATTTGTCAAACAGCAATTATTGGAATTAGGAAAGAATGCAGGAAGGCAGCCAAAGCCCTCGTCACAAAGTACACTGCATCCTTTCAGCCACAGACCCCCCAAACAGTGAAACAGACAGCGGTGACCTACAGAGTCTGCTAACAGGCCCAAGATTGTCTGTTTTTCCCTTATTTATTGTGGAATGAGACAATGAGTTTTGTATTTGGTGTTAATAATTATTTATTTTTTTTCATTACGAATATCATCTCTAGACATACTTCAAGGTAAAGAAATAAAGTAAAAATGATGTTCCCCATGAGTAAAAAGATATCTTAAAGTAGTTCCTGAGAATACTAGGATGAAAGAAAGTAAAGAAGCATGAATAAAGAATGAAGAGAAAGAAAATTAAATATTTAATAAAAGAACTAAGTCATGTTATAAGTGCTCAAAAAAAGGAATTTGAAGTTAAAAGCATGTTTAGTGACACAGAAAATGGAATCATATTGATATGATAGGACAAATTTGAGAAATAATCCCAGACATGAAAAATGTACACAAAGAAATAGAGCCATAAAATAAAGGCATAAAATAGATATTGAATGACAGTGTTTCTAAAAAACAAAAAAAAGGAAACAGAATAGAAAGAAACAGCAAACTGATGAAACTGTTATTGAACTAAAATGAAAACAAAACCACAAAAACAAACACAAAACAAAAAGACTATTAGAAGGAAGATCAATGAAAAAAGGTCTACTCTAAGAATCTGTGATGAAATATATATACAAAACCCAAGCCTGAATAAAACAAAAGCACCCAAATGCCAGCCTGACATTAGACTTTTCCTTTAAGATATGCTTAAAAAAATGATGCTTGCCCTATTATTTTCAGGAAAAAGCTTCTCAATCAAAATATTAAATCCAACTAAATATCATTTCTGTGTCGTGATAATTAGAATGCCATTCTCAGTAGGGGAAGCTCTTGGAAGCCATATCTTCCACAATAGCTAATGAATTACTTAAGGATATACTCTGAGAAATTAGAAACAATTCAGAATTTAGGAACTTGAAAGTAGTACTGTCAAGGTATAACAGTGAAAATTGATTAATCTGAGAGTATAACTATTAGTTATGAATGTATTATAAAGCTATCTAAAAAAAGTTTTAAAAAGGGTAACAATTAAACATAATAACATCTGTCTTGGAACCTAAGATTGCATCAAAAGCTTTCATATGGAAATGGTATTGTTTTGTCCTTAACTTTTAAAATTATAGAAATGCAGAATAATTCTTAAAAACTTGAAGATTACCTATAGCAAAAAACAAAGAAAAAAAAACAAAACCCCCCAAAACAAAAAAGAAATGAATAGCAGACAACAAAACTAGAGCTATTAGACCTTGAGTAATTATCCAATGTTTAAATTGGCTAATTTTTTTTTTAGTAAAAGATATAAATTCCAAGATTACATTCTGTACAGTCACAATAAAACAAAATACTGTGACCAGGTTTATGTTAAAGGTAGGTACACATTCACATGCTTGTGTGTTTACCCAGCAACTCAAACAAAAGTGACAGAATATTAACATCAGATGAAGTACATGTAAAGGTTAAAAACAACAACAACAACAACTTTAAGTCATATTTGATGTACTTTCAACTTAATATCAAAAGAGATAACCATAGCCAGAGAACACAAACAATAATAGTGAGGTATAATTTTACTCATATTCTCAGTATAGTAGGTTAAGTTGGGAAAAATGAGAAAACATTCCGAAGGTTTAAAACACAGGTCATTTCCATATCATGATAATTAGAATGTCATTCTTAGTATGAAAAGCTCATGAAAACTACATCTTCCAAAAATACCTAACAAACTACTTAAAACTATACTCTGAGAATCACTTTTGTCACAAATACCCATATTAATCTATAACAAAAATATCATTTAAAAAAACTTGAAAAGATGTTATCTAACTACAATGTAATAAAACATTTAATTAATAAAAATGTAATAACTTAAAAACTGTTTCTCCAATTATTCAAATCAAAGAGAAAATGAAATATCGAAAATGAAAATTATAGACTACAAAGTGATGACAGCAACATGAATGCACACTGAATATAAAAGATGTGGCAAAAGGCACAATAAGAGAGAATTTTACAATTTTAACTGCTTGTCTATTTAAACAATAAAATGTGGCAAATTAAGCACTGACGGCAAGAAATTGGAATATGAACATCAAACATGTCCAAGGAAAACACAATAATAATAATTAATTTAAAAACAGATAAAGGCAGAAATGGCTGAATTAGTTAGGGGAAAACTTCCAATTTAGACCTGCATTGCAAACTAACAAAAGCTATTTCCTGCCCCTCTTGAATTCAACTTTGGAGACGCCAAAAGAGAATAAAGGAACACATATGGGTTCAGGCTCTCAAGCATCAGTTAACAGGGGTACTTCAGGAAGAACAGAGGCATGTCCTGATGTCTAGAAAGCTGAGGATCTGGGGCCAGAGAATATCAGCAAGCAGGAATAGGGAACCGTAATTTAGTTAAACTTTAATCTTCACACATTACCTGGGAAGTGTGCACATGGAGGTAAATCAAGAATTACCTATTCCATGCCTGAAGCTGTGACTTCCCAGCTACTAACTCAACCTCTGCTTCATACAGTAGGAACCTTTGGTGCCAGGTGGGAGAAAAATAGTAGTGCCAGAGATATTAGTGAATTAATACCAGAACATCACTGCAATCCCATTACAGTAGGATAAAAAGGAGCATAGGTGAATTGGAAATAATCATTTTGTAAAAGGCACATCTATAAGTATACTTAACGAAAATTCCTGAAATACAAAAAAAAATAAATAAATAAATAAAGGAGAAGAGGCAGGGTATGCTATGGTTACTTGATCAGCTTTATATATTGCTAGATAACTTAAGACTAAGTAAATATAAGTCAGGGTAATAAAATAAAAATATTAACTTTGAAGCAACAGATGAAAATTTGACATATTTAATACAAAGGGAAATAGTTAAAAAATCAGAAGAAAATTTGGAAAGTGGAAAATATGAAATAGACAGGCATAAGCTTAACACTAAGATGATAAAAGTAAATGTAAATAAATTACACTCCAATTAACTGACAAAGACTCCCAGAGTAGAATAAAAGTAGGATTGAGGAACATGTTGCCTAAAGGAAACATATTTGAACCAGAAGATATGGAAGGAATGAAAATAAAGAGATGGAAAATACAGATGCTGTGAAGCAAATATAATGCAAAAGAAAGCCAGTGTTGAGTTCTTCTACCAAATGAAACAGAAGTTGGTGCAAAATGCTTCATAGGGGACGGAGAGATATTAAAATAAATCAAGAAATTGTAATAATCCTCAACATATATGCAGCTAACAACAAAGATTCAAAACATATAAAAGTACAACCAATAAAATTATAGAAAGAAATAAACAATGGTAGCTGCCGATTTTAATATATGCTTTTCTGAATCGGTAGATCAAGCAAAGTCTAACCCATATTATAAAAGATACGTGTGTGGGGCTGGAGATGTGGCTCAAGCGGTAGCGCGCTCGCCTGGCATGCGTGTGGCCCGGGTTCGATCCTCAGCAGCACATACCAACAAAGATGTTGTGTCCACCGAGAACTAAAAAATAAATATTAAAAAATTCTCTCTTTCTCTCTCTCTCTCTCTCCTCTCTCACTCTCCTCTTAAAAAAAAAATATATGTGTGTATGTGTTTGCACTATTAATCTTATTTTTATATATGAAAACCATACAAACTTTGCACCCAGACACAAATGTGTGCCATTTGCATACACAAGGAATATTAAAATTGTTTATGAATCAAGTTATAAAAAGTCTCAAAAATTCTAAACGATAGCTATTACAAATAAAATATATTTTCTGAATAGTGTGCAAGAAAGTTAAGAGCCAATAAGAAAGCATAACAAATAAAGTTCTACATGTCTGGGGGAAAAAAGCCCCACAGAATAATTATTGTGTTAAAGAGGAAATAAGACATGACATAAATGACAATGGTATTCTACATGCAAAAAACTGACATGTAGAGAAAGCAATATTCAGAAAAAAATATACTTGTCAGAATGTACAACCTATTAAAAATTAATGCTATGCCAGTGGTGCATCTCAGTGGCTTGGCAGACTGAGGCAGGAAGATTGAGTTCAGAGAAAACCTTAGCAACTTAGCTAGGCTCTGAGCAAGTCAGTGAGACCCCGTGTCTAAATAAAATATAAAAAATGGGCTGAGGATGTGGCTCAGTGGTAGTTCCCCTAGGTTCAATCTCCAGTACCAAAAAAATAATAAGAAAGAAAGAAAGAAAGAGAGAAAGAGAGAAAGAAAGAAAGAAAAAAAAGAAAGAACGAACTTGCTACAACTGATCAAAACAACAACATCAAAAAGAAAGAAAAATGAAGATATTGAAAGGAAACAATAAATTAATTATTTTTTAATTAAAAAAAAACACTAGTTATGTCAAATCATGATAGATAAAATTCTGGAAAACAACTAAGAAAGAAGCAAAAATACCCAAATAAGAAAAGAAAGCCTACAAAAGGGTAACTAGAATGCAAACATGTTATAATATTTTAAAATTATTTTATATAAAAAAGTTCATAAATGTAAAAATCTAAATATATAAATTTCTTAAAACCAAGCAAAATATCACAATTGGCACCCCAAAATTTAAAAACTTTAACAGAGTAATAGCTATCATAAAAAGTATCTAAAAACTTCCTCCACAAATGCACAGATGGTTTATATTTGAGTAATAAAAAACTTTTGAGAATAGAAATTTCTCTTATATAAATCATTTTTTAAACAAAAGTCATTTATGAAATTAGCAAAATAGGAAAAATTTACTAATCTATATTGAGGCTAACATAATCTTTAGCAGCTTTTGATTACCATACTATAGTCAGATTTTCTGTTACTTAGCACAGGACACTTAGGAAACTAATAGAGGGTGCCATAAAATTTAAGAAAGGAACAAGAAAAAAAAAAGACTTAAATAGATAAAATCCATAAACTTTAGATTAAAAGATTCAATATGATAAAGTGTTAGTTCTTCACAAATTAAATTACTAGTTTAATCTAATTACAATAAAAATGCAAAGAAAATCATTATTAGGGAATTAAAGAAGGGATTCAAACATTTTCTTGAGTAAGCTAAAAGTAAAGAAATTTTAAAAGAGAAAATTAGATGTACTGGATTTATTCCATCAATGCTCATATGTAATCTAAAAATGTTACACTGAAGAAAAGAGAAAAAAATGGAACACAGTAGGAAGGCCCAAAGCATTCCAAAATTATAGACACAAATTCTGTAGACAATAATGCAGCTTTTTGACCAGAGGGGGACAGGCAAATGACCATTTAAGTGCTGACTAACTTGTCAACTACTTGGAAAAATTAAATTAGGTACATTGTACAATGATTCATCCGTACATTCCTGATACCATTCACTCATGAAATATTTAACCATGAATTATATGCCAAGAACTGTGTAAAGATACAGTCATGAGCAAAAACAGAGCACTTCAGGGTCTAGTAGGAACATATGTAACAGGCCAAAAGCAGGACTGATGGGGAATATATCAGCCTAATGAGCTTTGCCTAAGAAATACAACAGGTAATTTTGCTTAAAACAAAATTAAGAGAACCCTGTAACATGAGACTTTGCAAAGACTCCAATACAACATGACCCTTTTCTGTGCATAATCCTCTGAAAAATACTGCTAGATACAGTATTTAGATGTCTGTGAATTACATAAATAAACTTTTAAGACTGTGATAGTGGCAGCATACAAGATAAAATTGTTATGAAAGAGTGCAACACAATTGTTTGAGAGCAATCTCCTGAAGAAATTAAAGCAGCACTAAGCTAAATATAAAACAAAACAGAATAAAAGGATTACAAATGAAATGATATAATATTTGCCTGTTTTTAAAGTTGAGACAAACCTCTAATTCTTATACACCAAAATTAATGGCAAACTATAAGTTTGGCTAAGCAGGCTAGAAATAAATCAGACATAATATACAGAATGGATCCTGATCATGAAGCTGTCTACACCAAGGCCATCAAAATTTTCTGTTGAGGGGCAGAGAGCAAATAATTTAGGACTTATAGGACACAGAGTCTGCAACAATTCAACTTGACTGTTGAAGCATGAAATTGGCCACAAACAAATATTAAAGAAATGGGCATGATTGTGTTCAAATGAAACTATATCTACAAAAAGAAGAAAAAACAAATACAAAAACAAAAACAGGCAATAAACCAGATTTGGCAAATGTTATATTTGCTAACCTCTAATCTGGTCTAGATGAGACAGTTGTCCATATAATGGTGCATACAATATTTTTGGAGCATCGATTCCTTGGCTCAATTCAGAAAATGCACAGTATAATTTTCCATGTCCTATCTCTGATTTTTAGGCCCTGTAGCTCCTATATAAGAATATGAAACATTCTTCAACTCCATTGTCTACTAGTGACTAAGGGTCAGACTCACCCAACATTATGAAAGAGCCCTATTAAAGGCTTTTTATCAGCGTACACTACTATATCTCACTGTCTCAATACTTGTCAAAATTGGATTGATGCTCAGGGGAGATTTCTTAAAGAACACATGTTCTATAAACTCCATTAGATAACTTATATTCTTAGAACATATACAAAAAAAAAAAGCATCTAGATAATAATTCTTCACTCAGCCACTACCTATGAACTTTTATTTTTCTCCATTGCTCTTTGACTTGAAGATATCAGTTAATACAGAAGGTCTTTATAAGAAATGAGGAGGTGAGCTGGGAATATGGTTCAGTGGTAAAGCATTTGCTAACATGCATGAGGCCCTGAGTTCAACCCTCAACACCACAAGGAAAAAAAAAAAAAAGAAAGGAAGAGGTGATAAATAATGGTACCTTCATTTTCAACAATGAAGGATGCTCCCCCCAAACAATGAAAGATTAGTTGCTTGAGGCCCTATTCATCACAGTTTCTACTTTACCTGCAGGGGTTCTGAGTAGTGAATTTTAAAAAAGAGTTTATGTGATCACATTCATATATGCCCACTCAGGATCTTTTCCTGGCCCTTCTCTGACCACTCCTTTCCTCAGAAGCTGACTTCCGCAGACTTTGTATTACCCAAGTTCCCACTGCTGGAGGTGACTGTGTGAGGGTGTGGGGATGCTCCCCACCAGGAAGAGAACAGCATTGGGAAATGGGTATATATCACCCTTGCCCAGAGAATGCAGTTTTTAGTAGTGGCTGCACCTTAAAAAGCTGCAGGTGTTCAATGGCCCTCTTTCAAAAAGAGAATCTCTTTCCTTCTCTTTACCCATTAAGCCAAAACATGGTGACAGCTTCCTGCTGTTGCCAGTCCCTATGCATGTCACCATCCCTTGTTAGTTCTATCAACTCTGTTCAAAATCTGTTCATTAAACTCTTCAATTAAACCCTTTGGGTATGCCATCTGATTCTTATTAGGACTCTATTTTAGGAAAAGAAAGAAAAAAAGAGCCTTTTTAGAAGCACTGCCTTAGAGGAAAGCTCATCACTGGGGGGAAAAAAAATCTGTACAACTGAAGAAAAACCCCACACAGCTAGAATATATATGCACACTCTAGTTTGAAATTATGGGCTAGATACATTGCAAGCTGCCACTATGACAAATATCAAGCATTTAAATCAGTGATAATGAAATGAGATCTACTTAAATTTTACTTTGAAATTTGAAACTTAAGATAATCTTCTATTAAAAAGTTTCATTGGGAAATTGATTATTCTTAATATTTTATTTGAACAAAAACATACACTAACTAATGAAATAGACAGATATAAATAGTTTGCAGATCAGTGGCTTACCTCTTTAAACTTGTGACTGAGCTTGCTTGTGTCCAGGTCTGATGGAGAAAACATGTCCTCATTCTCAGGCAGCTCAAAGACTTCAATGGCCATGTCACCACCAGGAAGAACAGGCCCTACCTCATCCTCTTCTTCATCTGTGGCATATTCTCCTGTCTGAAAGTAAGGGGATTTCAGAAATCCAGCTGTCCTTACTCCAGGTGGAGGAGGGTTATTGGAAAACATTTTATAAGAGACATAAAAGATGTCACCAAATGGTAAAAGTGTGTAAGTCAATTTTTAAATTGAGCATGCCTCATGCAGCCAATGTTATACACAAATGTTAGTTCAAAGATCCAAAGGAACAAGTCTATGCCACATACATGTGCATTTCTAAATATCTGACAGAATCAATAGCCTCTCTAGTATAGCAACAGGATGAACTGATTTTTGATCTGAGCATGTGATGATTTTACTAAATAAAATTACATAGTTAAGGGAAGTAAGTAATTCCTTCAAATACCCACCCTCCTATGTGAATAAGTCACCCAATATTGGGAGCAAGTTACCCAGTATAGGAAGGAAACAGAGATTGAAGATTCAGAGAGTTTGAAGGAACCTTAATTAAACCTTATAATTGTTAAGTAGATTAACTCTTCTAACCTTTGGAATTGAATCGGTTCTATTTTGTTTGTTAATTACTGTGGTGGTTAACTAATGAACTAAAGGATAAACTGAAGTTTCCAACTCACAGAGTGCACATGCATATAGTTCTGCTTTCACACTACTTTAATAAAACTGAGTATTTGGTCAATATGAATTTTTTTTTCATGTAAAATTCTACATTTCTAGTTTTTTTTTTTTTTTGAGAAAGCCAAAGATCTGTCAATTTAGACACATTGTGACACAATAACAACTGGCCACAGATTGCAGTCATTGCCCCTTTTAGGCAGTCACTCACTTTTTAATACACTAGACTGCCCAAACTCCAATCATTCTGCTGTTAGCTTCACTCTTTCATAACATCTGTGGGTCCCTGTAGGTATTTGAGTACATGACCCCTGGAATAGATGTTCTTCTTTTCTACTAACTTCCTTAACATTATTAGAAAGTAGCTCCTCTCCTGGCAGCATGAGGCTATGAGGCTATAATTCAAAATAAGTGCTTAAAATCTTTATCTTATGATAAAACTTAAAGATAAATCATTGATTCACAAGGTTAAAAAGACAGAGTTCATTTAATTCATCCCTGTTCCTACAGGTAGTAGTTTAATATATAAAACATAGATAGAAATTCATCCTGCCTTCAAAAAAACCTTCATAAAGAGAACCCTGAATGATGTATTCCTTTGATTAACTGGGCTCAGCATTTGCTGCTTTTTCTTGTTGTTCTACACTTCATTCTTTCTGCTAAAGCTGCACACGCCCCTTTTCCCCCTTCCCTTCCCCTTTCACACAGTTATTGTCACAGAATATATCTTTGTGTATTGTATTCCCATTTACAAACTTAGAATCATTATTTTACCCATTTGCCTACTAAATTATACAGGAAAGAGCTAAGTTACAAGCCAAACCAAAATTACAAATCATATTGGATTTTACATTTACCTATATAGTTGCCTTTACCAGTGTTTTTAATTTTTCCTAATGGCTTCAATTCACTGCCTACTGTCTTTGCATCTCAGAGTGAAGAACTAACTTCCTTTGATATTTCTTGTAGAGTAGCACTGCTGGTGATGAGCTCCCTCAGCTTTTACTAATAATTTGTCCTTCATTCTTGAAAGATGGTTTTGTCATTTTTGGTGTCTTTTTCTTTCAGGACTTACGTCATCCTACTACCCTTTGGCATCTACGGTTTCTGAAGAGCAATCACTTGTTAATCTTATGGTGGAGCCTTTGTGATGAGAGTAACTTGTATTTTGTTTCTAAATTCTTTGAGTTTCAACAATTTGACTGAATTGTGTCTCCATGTGGATCTCTTTGTTCATTAGGCTTCCTGATTGTGTATAATAATGTCCTCAAATTGGTAAGTATTCAGCCATTATTCATTAAAATGTTTTTTCTTCCCCTTCTGTATACACCCCTTTTTAAAACTATGTCTGCACATGAAGGAAATCTGATTATTAACCTCAGTGTAATGATTCTTATTGTCTGGAAGATAGTTGCCTCAGACTGCTTTTTTTCAATGAAATTATTTTAGTTTTCTCAAGAGGTCAGAGATCTCCGTAACTGTCTTTGTAATTGTCCTCTGACTTCTCTCCAAATTCTTCCAAGTTGTGAAGTTGGAAGCAGGCACAATTTCTACAAAAGGATTTGGGGGCCACTGACCACAATAAATATATTGCCTCAGTATCCCTCAGTCTCTACTTCCCCACAGAGGCTATTATCATAAAAACCTTGACTTTGGAGGCATTTGTGTAGAGAAATAAGCTCAGGATCTTTCACATTGAGCAGCGATTTTTTCCAAACTGGTTACAGATTAGTTAGAACTCCCCACCTCCCTGCCCCACCCCACACAAATAAAATCAGAGATGCTTTGACTGAAAGGGGGGGGAAAAGTTTGAGATTGGGTGTTCCAATATCCAAGGATCCTAGAAATTTAGGACCCTTTAGAAACCAACCTGAAAATGTCGAAACTATAAATACCATTTTAAGTGTCTCTGGCACTTGGCAGGGTAAGGTAGCTGAAGATGGGGACTGGTTGGTTCCAAATAGCTTCTATTTGTCAGTACAATTACATTCTATAAATCTTCAAAAGGCTTTAATTTTAGATTTGGTATGGTTCTTATGGTATTCTGTAAATTAATCTATTTCCTATTTATATGTTTTTAGAACCAGCAGGTACTTTGTAAATACCAGTGATGTTAACTAATGGGAATGTGGCATAGTTAGTAAGTAAACAATCTCAAGATGCTTTGCTAAAAGTTTTCTTGTGGAGGTATAAAAATGTAAAAAATTTTAACCCTATAATCACAACTAGCAGCAAAGCTCAGTCTTAGTTTTAAAGCTTAAACTCATATATAAAATTTAGTTCCATATAATCAATTTGATGAGTAGCTGAATGACTCACGAAAATCTTAAGCTAAAATTTAAAGCCTAACTAAACCATAACAGTATGGTACATTTTAAACATGAGCTAAAAAAAATGACTTGATTTGCTTTTGCCAGCTTGAAAATGAATACTTGTTAACTAAGTATGAGTGAATTAATATAAATACGAGACTAGGGTGGGGCCTAACAAAAAATAAGATCTAACAAATACTTTTTAAATACAAATACAATTGCATTGTACTATCTAGAACTTCCTAAGTTTTCGTAATATCAAGAAAACAAGCAGTCATTTGTTAAAAAGGTAATATTGTGTTACACACATTTAAAAAAAAAAAACACAGGATTAGGATATATACAACATAGACAATTCTTGCATTTAAGTATAGTTTTGGCCTTATCATCCATGTATAATTCATCAAAGTTATCTTGAAAATTTAAAATTATCAAGAATTCTTCTTGATGCTTCTATTTTTGACGTTTCCAGTTTCTTCTCCTTTCTAGTTCCCAAATTACATGCATCTGTGCCAAAATTCTTATCATTCATTTCATCATTCCATTTACTAAAATCTTCTCTTTTCATTAGCCTTTAAAGCATTCTAAGGGCAAAATATATCTTTTAGTGCCTTGAGTATACTTTTTACTTACTATAGGCTATAGATAGTGTTCAAAAACATTGTTACCATTCCCACCCTGAATAGACTTCAGAATAAAGAATGCACTTATTATCAATTCTCCTAAACATCTGAAAACAAAAGAGTTACATTTAGTGGATTAAGAATAATAAGTTTTTCAGATTCTGTTTATTGAAAATGAAAATTATTTTTATGGCATGGAATGGTAAATTAACAAATCTCAAAATTAGATTGGATTGAGCCTGTCATTTGTAGAGGAAGATGGACAATGTTGCACAAAAAAATTGTTACAATTAAGTATTTCCATTGATAGGCAACTCTTTCTACTTTTGGCCAAATTCAAAGTTTTTCAAAGGCAGAAGGAATATCAGCAGTGTAGAAGGGACAAAAAAAAGTGCAGAATAAATTTGACAAAATTACTCTATGTGCACACATAAATATATTACAGTGAATTCTACCTTTATGTGTGTGTGTATGTGTATGTGTGTACATATTACCAATTTAAAATAAATAAATAAATGGAAAGTAGACCAGTAAAGTAGAATGGAAATATGGGTAAAAAGGAGGGCAAAGGGGGTGGGCATTAGGGACCAATGGAGTAAATTAAATTCCATGCACATATAGTTATGTCAAAGTGAACCCAACTACTATGTACAACTATAATGCATCAATAAAAGAAAAAAATTCAAAATACCAGAAACTCTTGACATTATTTGTCTTAACCTACAAATTTGCTTCCAATGTGTCAAGAATAGTTCTTAGAGTCAAAATACAGATAGTAAATGTTTCATGGCCTATCTACTTTCTGAATTAACATCTTTTACTTTTGAATAATCCCATGAAAAGGAGAAAAGTGAACAATCCTTTCATAATTTACTATGTACCCAACATTGTATATTCCCTCACAACTACTTGATATGGATATTAATATGCTATCTTAATTTGAGGAAACTGAGACTCAAGAGACTTTACCAAGAACAATTAGTTAAGGTGTTGAAGCTATATCGAAACATTTCAAAGTCTGTATTCTTTATTCTATGTTATGCTGCTTCTGGTTTATAGAAACTAAAGCTTTGCAGAAAAACAATGTTAAGAATATATTCCTTTCACCTATCCTCAACCCAAAAGCCTGTTTTTGCATAATGCTATTGTGCTAGGAGTCACCTTTCACAATTTGAACATTGTCATTCAATTCATTTGAAGACTTGCACCTGTGTTTACTGTCCTCTTTTATTCTATCATGACCCTGAGGCAAGTACATAGAAGTCTCCTTTGAAAGGACAGGGAGCAGTAATGGGTGAATAAATTGCAAAATAAAGAGAAGAATCAATGAAAACCAAACATAAACATATTTACATTTATCCTAAATCACAGAATTATTTATTCACTTGCCTATCTTTTAATTGCAGGGCCAAGTTTTCCTCTTGGCTTATGAGTGTCTGCTGACTGATGTTTCACACATTCTCTTATAAAAACCACAAGCATAACATATAATCTATAAAAATTTTGCAATGTCCTTAAAATGGATAAAAATGATTCAAGCAAGAAAAACTGAGTTTTAAATTACTCTAGATGTTTTTTTTAACGAATAATCAGAAATTAACTTTTATTTTTTTTAATTTTTTTTCTTCTTTTTTTTCATTTTTTATTGATTGTTCAAAACATTACAGAGCTCATGATATATCATCTTTCATACATTTGACTCAATTGGGTTTTGAACTCCCCAAATACATATTGCAGACTCACTTCTGTTACATACTCACATTTTTACATAATGGCATATTAGTGACTGTTGTATTCTGCTACCTTTCCTATCCCCTACTATCCCCCCTCCCCTCCCCTCCCCTCCCATCTTCCCTCTCTACCTCCTCTGCTGTTGTTCAATTCTCTCCCTTTTTTCCCCCTCCCCCTTGCCCCTCATAACCTCTTATAATTTTGTGTATCACTGAAGGTCTCCTACCATTTCCATATGCTTTCCCTTCTCTCTCCCTTTCTCTCCCCCCATTCATCTTAGTTTACTGTTAGTCTTTTCCTCATGCTCTTCCTTCCTGTTCTATTCTTAGTGGCTCTCTTTATATCAAAGAAGACATTTGACATTTGTTTTTTAGGGCTTGGCTAGCTTCACTTAGCATAATCTGCTCTAATGCCATCCATTTCCCTGCAAATTCTATGATTTTGTCATTTCTTAGTGCTGCATAATACTCCATTGTGTATAGCTGCCACAATTTTTTTATCCACTCATCTATTGAAGGGCATCTAGGTTGGTTCCACAGTCTAGCTATTGTGAATTGTGCTGCTATAATCATTGATGTGGCCGTATCCCTATAGTGCGCTCTTTTAAGGTCCTCAGGGAATAGTCCGAGAAGGGTATGCCTTTATCTTTTACATTTCTTCCCCAAACCTAATTTCGTTTAGCTATTTTTTAAAAAATAATATATCTAGTTTTCATAGATAAAAAATTTTTTTTACATTCACATTACATCAGAGCACTTACTATTTTACTAAATAGCATTATAATAATTGTGCTGACAGATTCCATGTCTTGTAAACACCAAACTTTTGACTGGTGGGAGCAAAAGCGGGTAGATACACCAGGGCCCGAAACACGAGAGTTGGAGGTGTTGGTCTAGGCTTTACAGAAGGAGCATTAAGCATTGGTTGTATTAGTGGGTTAGTGAAGTGGGGGCCAATGAAAGAACCTTGGTTTTGTGGTCACTTCTCTAAGTTCAAATTCCAGCTCTGAGACATTGGAACTGACATTCTAGTCTAGACATTCTAGACTGAAGCTTTGATTTCTTTATCTATAGAATAAGACAACTTGAAGAAATACTTAGCATAACAAAGTTATCATGAAATTAAATTAGAGAGTGCCTGTAAAGTGCTTAGCACAAGACCTGGAACATGATAGGAGCTCAAAATAATTCATTGCTGCTGTTGCTGCAATGGTGACACACCAGAGCCTTTCCAGTCCCTTGTAACTGGATGTTTGCTAAGCTTTGGTCTCAAAAATATAATTCTGCAGAAGATCTGGATGCATGCATCTTTTTAAAGCAAATTGGTCATTCTGAAGTAAAACTTTCCTTTCATTAAAGCAGCTCCTCTTATATTCCCAGTTCTTCAAAAAAACCCTAGATTCTACCAACCCTGCCCCCTGGGAAACCTCCATGCATCCATGCTCCTCATTGCCCAGCCTCCACCCACCAGAGTGGTCCAAGGTGAATATCCCTCTTCATTGGAAAATCCTATGAAGCTCCTACTCTTAAGA